CATGATGTAGGCAGCCTTTTCGGCGGAGGGCGCGAAGGTGATCAGGTTATCGCTCCAGGCTGAAAAGAGCAGCTGCTGGCTGCCCAAAATGAAACCCACCTCGGCCTGCACTAAACGGTCGATACACGCGGAGAAGGCATCCTCTATCGTAATGCGGGCGAGCATGCCCGCAGTGATCGCACCCATGTGCAAACTTCTCGACCTCCGAATCTCAGACGTCGCTGCGCCCATGATCTCGATCTGGGCGGCAGAGCCCTGTGCAGGCGGATCGCTGCAGCTGCAAGCTGCCTCGGCACCCCACGAGCCGTCGGCCCCCTTAAGACACAACTGTACCGGATCTGGTCTTGGTGCGCTTTCACGTCCGCGATGGCCACTGCAGCATTGTTGAACCGATCTCTGCCGATCTCTAAGGCCAACGAAGCCGTGGTGAACAGGTCCTGCATTTGCCCGCCTCTTCCGATGCCCAGGACGAGGCCCGACAGGGATCTGGAGGCAGCGAACGCATCAAGGTAAGGTTCCAAGACCTCAGCGACATCTGCGTGACACAGCTGGGCAAGCATAGGCTGCGGAATCACAACCCTCGTAGCCTCTGGCCCTGCAACCGCCTTTTCCTTATTCCTGGTAGTGCCATGCACGACCACACACCGCCAGAAGGTATCAATACTCAAAGCCTCCTCCACGACACCCCTGGACCTGTTGACCCATCCCGCCACTCGCAGTGCGGCAACGCATGCACCGTACCCGAAGACGCGGGACCCTCGGAGCGGCAAACTGGCGGACGGCAGCAATCTCCTCGTCCCGTTCTGCAGGAGGGTTGTTGCTCCACCTGTTTCTGTATTCGGCGTCGACGAGGGCGGAGGAGGAGGAGGAGGAGGAGGAGGAGGAGGAGGAGGAGGAGGAGGAGGAGGAGGAGAGAGAGGAGGGAGAGTGAGGAGGAGGAGGACAAGGAGAGAGGAGGGCAAGGCCCAGGGCGAGGGGGATGAGGAGGAAACAAGCGCAGAGGGAGGGCGAGGAGAGGGAGGAGGGTGGTGGACGAGGAGAATCGGGAGGAGGAGCAGGACGAATGTGGAAGGAACGGGAACACCAAACAAGCTTCCAGAGGGTCTCCAGGAGTCCTCCTCCTCCCTCTCCTTCTCCTCCTCGTCCTCATCCTCTACCTCCTCCTCCTCCTCCTCGTTATCCCCCTCCTTCTCTCCCCCCAAATATACTTATCAATTTTCTTTCCTCTCCAGTCTGCCCGCATACCTCTCCCCTTTCCCCCCCTCCTTTGCCTTTCCTCCTCCTCCTCCTCCTCCTCCTCCATCCTCCTCATCCTCATCGTCCTCCTCCTCCCCTTCCACCTCTCCCCCTCCTCCTGGAAGTCTTCCTCCCGTCTCCTTCCCCTCCTCGCTCCGCCTCCCTGCTCCTCTTCCCCCTGCCCCGCGCAAGCCGCCTCCTCCCCGGAACTTTCTTCTTGCCTCCTCCCCCCCCCCAGACCCCCGGCATCATGACTTTCTCATGACGTCGGCCCCCAGAGGCCTCGCCCCGTTCCCCGGAGCTGGTGTTTCATCCCGAGTCGTTGCTTGACGGTCCCCAGGCCCGGTCAGGGCAGCCAGAGGCCGAAGACAGGGAAGCACCTCTCGTCATGATCTTTCCATGGCCCGTGGGAGATCTGCGCTCTCCCCCTCCCCGTTCTGCTCTCTTCCTCTCGCTCCTGCTGCTCCTCCTGCCAGTCCTCCCCTGCCCCGCTCCTCCTCGCTGTGGGCGAAGGTGCAGGACAGGCCCCTCTTGCACGCACCCTGCTCGAAGTGGATGCACATCTTCGTGGGCGCCAGCCCTCGCAGGCGAGGGTGCGAAGACGGTGAAGGCGGAGAACCCCTCGAGTCACAGAACAAGCACGGCAACAAGTTGTTCGCTACAGACGAGCTGCTGAAAAAAGGAACGCTAGGAAAGAAGCGAAGCCCCTTTTTGGCACCAGCAGGGCCTGGGTGTACGAGGAGGGCTAGGGGAACAGCCAGAGAATGACCTACTGAATTCAGTCCCTTCCGAGCCCAACGCGGTCCTTATCGCATCCTCTTGGCTTTACTGTCGGCCTCCGGATGCCCTGGATAGGGCCTGGGACCGTTAAAGCATGGCTCGGGATGAAACGCCGCTCTAGAGATGGCCAGAGCACCTCACGCTATCTGTGAGGAGGCAGTCGCCCGACGCCAACAACATGCGCTACAGGCTGATGCGGCGCGTGCGACTGCAGGACTGAAGGGGTCCAGGGGGAAACACACACTCTTACACACATTTACACACACAACTACACACTACACACACTGCACACACTGCACACACTACACACACTACACACTACACACAACCACTACACACTACACACACTGCACACACTACACACACTACATACACACTACACACACTACACACTCTACAGAAACTAGACACACTACACACACTACACAAACTACCCACACTACACACACTACACTATACACACACTACACACCACACACGTCAAACACACTACACAGACACACTACACACACTACACACACTACACACACTTACACACTACACACAATACGCACACACTATACACACTACATACACTACACTACACACACTACACACTACACACACTACACACACTACACGCACTACACACTACACACACTACACACACTACGCACGCTACACACACTACACACTACATACACTACATACACTACACACACTACACACACTACACACACTACACACTGCACTGCACACTACACGCACTACACACGCTACACACGCACTACACACATACTACACACACTATTCACACTACGCACACACTATTCACACACACACACACACGCACACTACACACAGTACACACACTACATCCATTACACACACTACACACGCTACACACACTACACACTACACACACTACACACACTACACACACTACACACTACACAGTACACACAAGCACTACACACTACATACACACTGCACATTCTACACACACTACACACACACTACACACACTAGACACGCTACACTATACACACACTACACACTACACACACTACACACTACACACGCTACACACACTACACAGACACACTGCACACACTACACACACTACACACACTTACACACACACTACACACACTACGCACACACACTACACACAGTACATACACTACACTACGCACATTGCACACACTACACACACTACACTACACGCACTACACACTACACACACTACACATACACTACACACTACACACACACACTACACACACTACACACACACACACTACACACACTACACACACTACACACACTACAGTACACACTACACGCACTACACACGCTACACACACTACACACACACACTACATCCAGTACACACACTACACACGCTACACGCATACTACGCACTACACACATACTACACACACACTACACACGCTACACACGCACTGCACACACTACATACACTACATACGCACTACACACACTACACACACTACACACACTACACACACTACACACACTACACACTCTACACACATACTACAGACATTCCACTACACACCACACACACACTACACTACACACACTACGCACACTACACTACACACACAAGTAGTCACAAACCCGAGGATCCCCTATATTGTCCTACAGTTTTCCCAGGGGTTCGTCTTCCCCTCCCACCTCCCATAGTTTCCACCTTTCTCTGGGGATCGACGATTCATTGTGCAGGTGTTTTTTTCCTTCCTGAAGGACGTCCATTTCGTTGTTGCCAGGGCTGGCCGGGAAGAGCTCGCCCGCGCAGTGGAGCGGCTCGAGATTTCGAGCCCTGCCGTCGCCCATCTCCGAAGATGCGGGAGTGTGGAAGCTTGGGCCACGGATCTCAGGATCGACCCTAGGAGGAGGAGGAGGATGAGAAGGAGGAGGAGGTTCATCTTTGGAGATGCCTCGGCAGGGGCCGGGACGCACGAGACACGGCTGCGACAAGTGGGGCTGTCAGTCACAGTGGCAGTGCCTTTGTCTCCTCTCGTGATGGGGCCGATTCGTCTTGTGGCCTTTGAGCGGGAACGGTCAGACGGTTCCACGAGGAGAAATGAGAGAGCTCTGCAATTGATTGTTCAATACTCCACCGGTTTCGTTTTCCATATAACGGATTATGAAGAGGTCGCGCGTGGCTGGTGGTCAGCGAGACCTCAGACGGACACGTGACGAGCAAATAGTACTGAGCTTCACTGGCAGGGACGGGACCCGTGTGCGATCATCGTGCTGCAAGTGCCCTCACACCTCTCGGGACGAGAGGTGCTTTCCAGGGCAATGAGGCAGGCAGCCGATCGGCTGGCGACAGAGGCAGCGCGGCAGTGTCGTGTGCCAGAGACTCGTCGGGTTCGACTGGCGCACGTCGAGCACAAGGCGCGGCTGGTCGGGAGGCGTCTCCTGCCATCGGCGCTGCAGATGGTCAGCCCTGAGGGTCTGGCCGCTCAGGCTGAGCGGCGCGCAGCTCGCAAGGCGCCCAGGGCAAACCCACCTCCTCTACATCCTGTGCGGCGCCCGCCTCGCCCTGCGCCTCCTGCCGCTGCACGCTTTGCGACCCCGCGCGTCCTGACCGAGGCTGGGCGGGGCTGTAGCGAGCTCGAAAGCTGAGATGGTAGCCTGGTTAAGGAGTGAGTGTTGCCCCCCTCGAAGCAGTTGGCGGCGCTTCGTTAAGACTTCCCCGTGGACGACGTTTACATCTTGATGGGGATTAGGCTCATTCCTCGCACACACAGTTTGATTTCCCCAAACAACGCCTTATAGTCGGTTGTGTGTAGATTGCGGCTTTTTCGGTCACGACCAGCGCAAGGGTCTTACGAAATCTTGCGCTGAACCAGCATGAAAGACGGGTCGTGGGTACCTGGACATGTTGACCCGTGGTTCGCATTCCAAGTCCTGAATTTCATGGCCTGTTTTTTATACCTCTTGTGATGGCGGCAATCCTTGTAATCCTCCTCCTCCTCCTCCTCCTCCTCCTCCTCCTCCTCTCCTCCTTCCTCTCCCTCCTCCTCCTCCCCCCCTTCCTACTCATCCTCCCCCCCCTCCTCCCCCTCCCTCCCCCCCTCCTTTCCCCACCCCCTCCCCCCCCCCTCCTTACCTCCCCTCCCCTGCCACAATGGGTGGAGCCCTGTCGCGTGGCGGGAGGCGCCCGTGGCCGGGGCATTTCCCAAATGTCCAGCTAGACTTGGCTGGCTCCAAACCTGAGAGGTCTCACCCACTTCCTTGGTGTATGTGGGCTGCGCTACTGCTGATGTAAGAAACCCATCCCGCTCCCCCTCTCCCCTGATCGGCTGTGCCCAAGAGGGGAGCGTCCAAGAGGGGGGGCCCTAAATTATGGCCCGAGGCATGTGCGTGGACCAGGTGGGGCTAGGGAGCGCATCAAAATCAGAAGAGGGGCAGTGAAATCTGGAAAGATGTCCTGGCTCTGGCTATGATCTCCCCCCCCCAAGTCATCAGCACCCGCTTGGACACCCCCGACCCGAGCTCCCTCCCTCCTGCTCCTCCTCCTCCTCCTCCTCCTACTCCTCCTACTCCTCCTCCCTCCCCTCCTCCTCTTCCCCTCCTCATCCCTTTTCAAACCACCTCCTCCTCCTCCTCATCCTCTCCTCTTAATCTCCTCCCTCTCCTTACTCCTCCTCCTACCCTACTCCACCTCCTCTCGTCTCTCCCCTCCTCCGCCTCCTCCTCTCCTCCCTCCTCCTCTACACCATCCAAACCTCCCTCCCTTCTTCCCCTCCCCCCCCCCGAGCAACCCCCCTCTGGGCCGCGAGGCGCGGCGCCCGGCGGCCCCCGGGCGCCCCCCCTCCCCCCGGCGGAGCCCCGCGGGCCTGTGTTGTGGAAGCGGCTGACCTGTCGGCGCGGATCGTCGTCGTCGTCGTCGTCGTCGTCGGCGCGGGTCGTCGTCGTCGTCGGCGCGGGTCGTCGTCGTCGTCGTCGTCGTCGTCGTCGTCGTCGTCGTCGTCGTCGTCGTCGTCGTCGTCGTCGTCGTCGTCGCCGTGGCCGTCCTCCTCGTCGCCGTCGCCGTCGCCGTGGTCGTGGTCGTGGTCGTGGTCGTCGTCGTCGTCGTCGTCGTCGTCGTCGTTCTCCGTCGTCCTCCTCCTCCTCCCCCTCCTCCTCCTCCTCCTCCTCCTCCTTCTCCTCCTCTTCCTCCCGACCTGGCCCTGGAACGCCACACGCGACACGTAGCGTGCTGACAAAGAGCTCAACATGCAGACTGAAAAAGCGGGGCTGACGCGATACGTTCGCCAAGAGCTGGCTGGGGGTCTGAGGTGGCCCAGCACTGGTCACTGTCAGCAGGAGGGGCAAGGTTCGAGGTGCTGGGCTCGATGTGTTTTGCCTGTTGCGGTCTCTGGGGGGTTCGAGGTGCTGGGTTCGACGTGCCTTGCCTCCTGCGGTCTCTGGGGGCCTTTTTCGGGCCTCGGGACTGTCAGAAAGGGATCTGGGGTGAAACACTTCACCAAATGGACCCCTGCAGGGATCCAGGGGCCGCGTTTGAGCGGATCTGCCATCGCGGCAACTGCACGCGACGTCCCCTGAGAGGTAACGGGGCGGAGGCCGGCCCAGTGCCCCGAGGAGGCGCTCGAGATCTGGGACCTGCTCCTCCCGCCGCCTCCTCCTCGCGCGTAGCCGAAGCGCTTCCAAGTTCGTCCGCTCGACCACCTGGCGCCGCATCTGGGCGCTGATGGTGGGGACGAGGGCTCCCGCTTTGTCACGGTGGAGTGGCCTGACAATCAGGGAACGTGTGACCCTGAGCTGAGTGCGTCCTCCTCCTCCTCCTCACCTCCCTCCTCCTCCTCCTCCTCCTCCTCCTCCTCCTCCTTCTCCTTCTGCTGCTGCTGCTCCTCCTCCTCCATCCCGTTTCCTCGCGGATGGTTCCTCCCTGTCGCACCGTCGCACACACAAACGTGCGTTAGGGCGAGCTGGGCGTGTCGCCTGAGACTTCCCCAGCACTCAGGGCCCTGAAACTGGGAGCTCGCAGCATTTGTAAACATGGAATACAAGTCACTTTCACAGTCGGACTCTCGCCTGAGCGTCGTGCACGTTCGTCTGCACACAGGGATGGATGGCGGTTCCTTTGGCGCATTTTTTTCAAAATGGAGCATCGACTGGGCGCCGCGCACCAGCGTCTGAACAGTTTGCAGCAGCTGCAAGGATGGATGGCATTTCCATGTGAAATGGGCCCTCGACATGGCGTGTTTTTTCTTGCAGGCGTCTGCAACTTATACACGGATTGAATATATTTATATATATATAGAGAGAGATGAATATCGATATGTGAATTTGCAAAATGGTACTCTCGCGTGAGCGCCGCACATAGCCGTCTGAGACGCTCACAACAACTGATCACCACCTCTGTCGACAAAGGCCCGTCCACCTGGACAGTCCTGCCAAGACGGATAAGCAAGAACCTTAAGAAGTATGTGATCATCCCCCGTTATCTTAGCACCGCATAGAAACAATCAATTCCCGTAGGTGATTTTAGCGGAATG